AAAAATAAAAAAATATTCAATAAAAATTTTATTAAGAATAACAAAAAAAAAAAATTAAAATAAATATAAAAAAAAAAAAAACATAAATTACATTAAAAATGTTTATTGATAATAAAAATATATGTAATATTTTTTTAAAATACTATTTAATGATTTAAATATCAAATTTTTATTATTTTTATAATTTATATTATAAATAAAATATTTAATAATATTATTCTTTTTTTTATTCAGAAAAAAAAATAATCATATTTGTTATTCTTCATCTTCATATTCATCATCATGCCCTTATAAGTTTCTTTCCACTAAAATATTTATAATGCGAATTAAATTAAAATATTTTATTTAATTAATTTACATTCAATTTAATTATTAAAATATTTAAAGTTCATATTAAGTTCATTTTCATTTGCAGTATGTAAATACCATTTTTATTCATATCCATTAACTTTATTAATTTTTATTTTTTAATATTTATTTAAATGATAATTTATTCTCTACTAAATTTAGCATAAAAATAACATGCTGGTTCATTCATATCTTAAGATAATTGAACATCGAAATCTTTTAATTTATTTAAAAAATCAATATACTCATATTCACAAATTTTATTTAAATATTATACCGTTTTGTAAATATTTTGGCTTTTATTATTTAAGTTTAATAAATAAGTGTCTATTTTTTATTAAAATAAGAAATTATTTAATTATATGATATTTTGCCTTCCTAAATTTGTTCCTCTCTTATCAAGTGGATTTATTCCAATTTTTACTTATAACATATAACGATACATTGGTTAAAGCATACTTCCTAATTTTTTTTTAATAATAAAAAAATTAAATAACTTGAATATCTATTTATCTATTTTTTATTTAACCTGTGTACGCCCAGATTCTTTTCTTTTTTCCCATTTTTATTTTCCTTTTTTATTTTTTATTTTTATTTTTATTTTTTTATTTGTATCTTTAAATATCACTTTAGAAAGCATAATAATTATAATTTTAATATAATTTGAAATAAAATAGTTATTTAAAATATATTTTAAGTCTATTTTATTTTAGATATTTTAATATTATTATTTTAAAGTTGTTAATTTAATTTTTATTTAGAAAAAACAAAACGAAAAATGCTAAAGGATGTTGATAAAATAAATAGGCTTTATAAAAAAATTACAAATTATAAAAACTTAAAAATAAGAAAGTCTATAATAATTATTCAAATAAGTTTATTATTTTATGATTTTATTTTAAATAAAAAAATATTAATTTTAACATATAATTATTTTGGCGTAAAAATATTAAGCTAGTAATATATATTGTATTTTATTTAAAAAATAATGCATTTTGCTTATATTTTTATTTAGAAATAAAATATTTATATTTTGATTTTTAAAATTTTAATACTTAGAAATAAAACTTTGATTATCAAAAACTTTATATCTGATTATTTTAAATTAATATTTAAAAATTAAAAATAATTATATAGCTATTTTCTATTATTATATTATATTAATTTAATTTATTTTTATTTTTTATTTGTTATAAATTTAATATTTTTTTTTTAAAAAAAAAAATTTAGAAAAACGACATATAAATTAATTATAATTTAAATAAAAATATAGAAATCATTGAAAATTACAAAAAACAAAAAAAAGGAAAATAAAAAAATATTAAAAATTAAAAAATTAATACAAATATTTAAAAATTAAAATAAAATTTCATAAACATAAATGACCTTAGTAAAATAAGATTTTAGCAATATTTAATATGAAACATAGTTATGTTAAAAATTTAATTAAATAAGCTTATCTTTAGAAAATCAAAGTAAAAAAAAAAAAATTAAAAAAATAATAAATAAACATAGATATTGATTGGTAAAAACGTTAAAATGCATTAAAATAAATACATTAAATAATCGAAAATATAGAAAACGAAAACTAAAAGGAAATATTAATATAGTACTTTTAATAATTATACCCCTAAATAAACATGCAAGTAAAAAAAAAGATTAATAAAAATATATAAAAAAAATAAAGTTAAAAGATTTACGTTCTTCAGTATAGAAAGAAGCCTGTAAGTTATTATCATTTGCTTCAGAAAAATTAGGAAAAAATTTTGAAGTAAATATATAAATATATATATAAAATAAAAAATTTATGTAAATAAATATAAATATATATTAAAATATATATATATAAATATATATATATATATATTTATATTTTAATTTAGTATGTCGCATCTAAATTTATAAATAAAGATAGCTTATTATAAGTTATTAATTCTGGAAATAAATTATTAAGTGAAAATGCTCATTAATGTTTATAATAAATAATCGAAAGTTGTCCTTCATAATTATATATTTTTTAATTATATGAAGAATCTTAAGCAAAAAGCTAATAAGTTCGTCTTAAAATTTCGTAGTATTTTCTACAGATAATTTAAATTTATTCTCCAAAAATCATTGAAAAAAGCATGCATATTTTTGAAAATGTAATAATAAAAGGACTTTCAGATGCAAATTAAGAAGTAAGATAAAATTACAAATAAACATTTTTAAATTTCTAAGAAAAATATCCCTAAAAAGCTTAAAAAATTATTTTAAATGTAGACTAATAAATACGTAAATCACTCACTTAATAAAATAACTTATCATTGAAACTTCTAGTTAAAAATCCTTAAGAACAATAAATTTAACAGTCTTTAATTTTAACAAATAATAACAATAATAATAATAATTAAAGTAGTTCTTTTTTTTTAGATGAAAAAACATAACTAACATAAAGTTTAAATTAAGGAAAAATTGAAAACACTAATAATGTTATTATTCAAGAAGAAATAAAAAATAATAAAACAGAATAATAAATAATATAAGTTAAAAAAAACAATTTTTTAATGCCATAAACTTCTGTAAAAAAACCTCCACTTTCAGAAAAATCATCAGTAAAATAATCATAATAATCATCTTCTTCACCAAAAGATGAATTAACTCCATATCTATCTAGAAATAATTCATAATAAAACACATATACTGTTAAAAAATAAAATTTAAAAACAATTACAGTTTCCAAGGAAAGAACAAACCAAAATAATTAATATAATTCATAAGAACAAAAAAATTCAAAAAATAATAATAATAATAATAATATAAGTAATAATAGTAATAATAGTTATAATAGTAATAATAGTTATAATAGTAATATTATATTGAAATCTAATAATATTCTATATAATATAGACTAACTAATCGAAAAATTAAAATAAAATTAGAAGATTATACTTTGGACGACAAAAGTAGATATATTTTAATAAATTAAAAAGCATATAGATGACTTAAATGAAAATAATGAATAAAATCCTACAAATTCTTAATTAAAAAAGCTTATTTAAATCCATTTAGAAAATTTAAATGATTCTCATTTTAAAGTAGTCAGTTCTTGCCTAGACTCAATAATTTCTTTAATTTCATTTAACACTAGTTCTTTTTTGCCTTTTCTAGACTCTCTTATGGTTAAATTATTAAATAATTTAATTGATTAGAAAGATTTAGTATCTAAAAAAGCCAATTTATTAATTAATATAATAGCCAAAGCATTTCCTGTAGAAAAACTTATTGACCCTGTTTAAAAAGTTATTGAATAAACTAACAAAATCATACTCAAAATTTGTGCTTTAGAAGTCCTTATTTTAATGGTTAAAAAGTAAATATATATTTTTATTTTTTTTCGAATTATTTAAATATTTATTAGTTCAAAATAATATTATTTAAATTCCTAAAATGTAAAACATACAGTATAACTTATGTGTATATTAATTCATGAAAATGTAAACTAAAAATAATTAACTTTACCTTCATTAGGTATTATTCTAGCTTTAAGAGACTAAAATTAATCAGCGACCATATATTGGATTCTATCTTAAAATAACCAAGCAATAATTTCTAGTTTAAGAAATCTTTCTTAAGAATATGCATAAGATTTAGAATATGACTTAGATAATTTTCAAAATAAAGAAAGTAGTTTAAATAATATTAATAATAATATTAGTTATTTTTAGTAAAAATAATAACTTAAAATAAAATCTTTTGACGAAATTTATAATTGCGTGAAAGATTTTGAAAATAATGAAAATTTTATAATTGAAAAAATAAACGAGATTTTAAATAATACAATCGAAATATTCAAATAAACATCTAAAATTTCAAAAGAAAATTCAATTTAAATTTTCTCGTGTCTTTTTTTAAGAAAATATTCGTATCTCACTATATAACCTTAAACTATTTCTAACATTTTAAATATTTATTAGTATATTCCTAAAGATATTGTAAATTTAATATAATTTATTTTGTTTCATTATTTTTTTTAAAGGATTTTTATATAATAGATGAAATTATAGATGAAATGATTGAGTGTGTACCTTGCTTAATTTTTATGAAAGCTTTAGTTGATAAAATTAGTACAGAAATCCCTCCTCTATTATAAATATTAATTAAAAAAATGAGTTTTGTTATTAAATAAGCTAGAAAGGAAGAAATTAGACCTTTTTTAGATCATATTATTGACACTTTTAAATTAGTATATTATAAAATTATTTTTTTATATATATATATAAAAATTAAAAAAAGCTAATAAATGATTAAAATGCTGATGTAAGAAAAAGTGTAGTTTTTTGTTTAGTAGATTTAAAAAATCTAATGTAAGATGAAATTACACCTTATTTAAATTAATTCAGTATTAATTAATAAAAACTTATAGATATTTACGTTGAAAAGTGTGTAAAATAATGAAGATTTTTATTTTTTGATAGCTTTTTTATTTATTTATTGTAAATTATTTATTATATAAAAATGTTAAAAAAAAAGATTAATAAATTATAAAAATAATTTTATAATGTAAATTCTATATATATATATATATATATATATATATATATATATATATATATTATATATATATATATTTTTATATTTATTTATATATTTTTATATTTTTAATTTATATATTATAAAAAACATTGCATTTTTATTTAAAAAATAAAATTTAATAAAAATATAAAATAATTTCATATTTATTTTTATATTTAAAATAAAAAAAGACATCAATTATATAAATCATCATCTTCAGTCTACATTTTGTTATTACCAATTTATTAACTAGCATTATTAACAGAAGGCCAGTTAATTTTTGGTCCACTTTATCCCCCTGATTAAGCAGCAAAACTAGGATCAAATTTTCTTTTGAATTATTCAAATTTATTTAAGTCCTTTTATAAATTTTAAAAAATAAAACTTATTAAAAAAATTATATATCATACCACTGAAGTTACAGATTTTCTTGCTGATCTTAAGGCTTCTTCGAAATGTTTTCTTGTAATTTCCGGTACTGGATCGTAATTAGCTAATCCTTATGCTTAATTAGGGTTCATTTAAGCTGCGATTTTCAATCTAGCTTCTGCTTCAATAGAATCTCTAACCGCTGCTTTAGCTGCTTTTTGGCAAATTTCAGTTATATCGGCTCCTGAAAATCCATCAGTAATTTAAGCAATAAATTCCAAAGAAATATCTTTTGAAATCGGTGTCTTTCTTAAATTAGCTTTGAGAATCCCCAATCTAGATGGTTAATCAGGAAGAGGAATATAAATAAGCTAATCTAATCTACCAGGCCTAATAATAGCTTCATCGAGAATTTCCGGTCTATTAGTAGCTCCTATAAAGAACAAATTCTTCTTTGAACTAACTCCATCCATTTCAGTTAAAAGTTAATTAATGACTCTATCACCAGCACCACCTATTTATATATATATTTAAATAACTAATAATATTATTATTATTACCAGCATCACCAGATGAGCCACCTCTTTAGACTGCTACGGAATCTAATTCATCAAAGAAAAGTACACAAGGTGCTGCAGCTCTTGCTTTATCAAAGATTTCTCTTACATTAGCTTCTGACTCACCAAACCACATAGTTAATAATTCTGGTCCTTTAATAGAGATAAAATTGGCTGAACATTCATTAGCAACTGCTTTTGCAAGCAAGGTTTTACCACAACCAGGTGGTCCATAAAAAAGTACACCTTTAGAAGGCTACATTCCAAATTTATGGAATTTTTCGGGATGTTCAATTGGGAAAAGTATCATTTCTTATAATTATTTTTTAGTATCTTCGAGTCCTCCGATATCATCCCATTTAACATTTGGCACCTCAACAACAGTTTCTCTCAAAGAAGCTGGATTTACCTATCCTTATGCGAATTTGAAATGTTCCTAACTGACAGACATTGCATTTAAAATCTCGGCATCGATTTTTTCATCTTCAATGTCTATTAAATCCATCTTTTCCCTAATACATTATAAGGCTGCTTCTGTACATAAAGCTGCCATATCAGATCCTACGAAACCGTGTGTATCTTTAGCAATAAGGGATAGATCTACATCTTCGTCTAGTTTCATATTTTTTGTGTGGATTCTTAAAATTTCCATTCTTCCGGTCTCATCAGGTACTCCGATATCTATTTCTCTGTCAAATCTTCCAAATCTTCTTAAGGCAGGGTCTAAGCTGTTTGGTCTGTTTGTTGCTGCAATTACAATTACATGTCCTCTACCTTTAAGGCCATCCATGAGTGTTAGGAGTTAAGAAACAACTCTTTTTTCGACTTCTCCACTAACTTTTTCTCTTTTAGGGGCTATAGAGTCCAACTCATCAATAAATATGATAGCTGGTGAATTCTTTTCGGCCTCTTCAAATGCTTTTCTTAAATTAGATTCGGCTTCTCCTGCCATTTTACTCATAATTTCAGGGCCATTAATTAAAAAGAAAAATGCTCCAGTCTCATTAGCGACAGCTCTTGCGATAAGGGTTTTACCAGAACCAGGAGGTCCATATAAAAGTACACCTCTAGGTGGTTTTACACCCAACGTTTTGAAAAGTTAAGGATGTCTAAGTGGTAATTCAATCATTTCCCTAATCTAAGCCATTTATTTTCTACATCCACCGATATCATCATAACCTACATCATCCAATTTCTCTTCATCTTCCCTTTTTATTGCCTCTCCTTCAGTAAATAACATAGTTGTAGGAGCTACTATACCATATTCTTTCGGTTCACAAGCCACAACTTTGAATTCAACAGATTTAAATCCTCCTCTAACTATAAATAAGTCACCTTTTTTAACAGGTCTATATGCATCTTTAAAGTAAGGAATTAAATATGTAGTAGCAATATCTCCAGTTATGCCTTCTATAGTATCATCTAATGGTAGCACGTGAATTTTAGATAAATTAGGTACATCTTCAGCTGCTTTAATGGATACAACATCTTTAATATAAAATTTATTTATATATAATTATTAATAAATTTAATTATATATATATATAATTATTTATATATATATATATATATATATATATTTTTTTGTATATGTTTTTACCTCCTAAACGTACTCTTAAGTTCTTTCTTACTATTTTGTTCATTCTTATTTTATCGTCAGTTAGTGTTGGATCAGTTAAAGCAATACATAGCGTTTCATGTCTCTTTTTTCCTTTTATTAAGACTGCATCTCCTTTAAATATTTTTAATTCATCCAACTTTTTTTATGTCAGACAAATTGCTGAGTTATCGTCGTTTTTGGCATCATCTACCTTTATTTTTTATTATGTTTTTTTGTTTTAAAAAGATAATAAATCATTTATTATTTTAAAATATAAACTGATTTTATTTTTGTTATTATATAGTTTAAATATAAAAAAATAATTTTTATTTTATTTATACCATTAATCTATTTGGAGCTTTCTTTTTATCTAAAATAGCTGTCGAAAAATCTTTTTTATGTTCAGTATCCATTTTATTTTTATATGTTTTATTTTTTTAATATTTTTTGCTTAGATTTTAATTTATATATTTTGTTCTAATATATAATTTATTATATTTTATTTGTTTAAAAATAATTATCTTTTTGTATTTTAATAAAGAAACTCTCTGCTCTTATATCTTTATTTTTTATATAATAAATATAAAAAAGCTAAATACAACTATAAAATCTATTCTATATATAAACATAATTAAAAATACTTAATTAATGTAAATAAAATAAATAATTATTTAATTATTTTTAAAAAATTAAATTTAAAAAAAAAAAAAAAAATTAATAATATATTTTAGATTTATATAAAATATATATATACATTTTTATATATATGATAATTTAAAAATAATATTTTAAAAATAAATATAATATATATTTTTACTATAAATTTTTTAAATGAATATAAATTAAAATAATTATAACATATAAAATATTAAATGATAAATTATATAAATAATTAAAATAGTTTAAAATTATTATATAAAATAATAAAAATTTCAAAAATATACATATATATATATATAATATTTATAAAAAACTATTTTTTTTTAGATTTAAACATTTATATATAAATTTATTTTATTTATTTTTATATATAATATATTATATTTAATATTTTTATTATTATTTCTTTTTTATTAATTTTTTTTTTTTTATTTAACTTTTTCTATTTTTTTTTTCTTTTTGATAAATTTTAAAACTATTTTTTTTTTTTTTTTCTTATATTTTTAATCTTTATAAAATTTATAATTCAACTGCTCATAATTATTTTCTCGTTTTCTTCAACAAATGAATTAGCCCAGCTCATCGCAAAACTTTCAGAATAATAAGAGTTTTCATTTTCATATTCATATTCAGATTAAACAGTTTTTATTTCATCCCAATTTAATATATTAAATAATTATTCTTATTTAAAATCTAAAGAATGTACAAAAGATTATTATTCTTTAATATTAAATAAATTTGAGTTTGTATCATCTATAAAATATATAAATATAAACTTCTTTATTATAAAAAATAAATAAACATAAATATATATATATTAATATAAATTAAATAAAAAATTTTACTTATTGAAGATAGGCTCTCTTTATTATTTAATTATAATTATTTTTTATTTTTAAAAAATTAGAAAAATTTAAATTTTATGCTTTATTTATCATTATCTGATTTATTTAAAATTTAAAAAATTTCTTCTTTACCAAAATTATGTTATTATTTTAATAATTTATCCTTATCTTCATCATTCTGGTCATTATATAATTAAGAAATCATTTAATTCGCATTCATTTTTTTTTAAGTTTACCCATTATTTCTTTAAAAATGTATATTATTATTAAATAACTTTAATCCAAATTTTTTCAAATTAGAGAAAAAAGGACACTTTCTATTGCAACAACTATTAAATTTAAAATATTTCTAATAAGATTAAAAATTCATAATATTAAATTGTTTTATTAAATGAATGTATAATTATTATTTATATAATAATATAAATTAAATTTTTTGATAATATATTATAATATTTTTTTTTTCAAAAGTATAATAATAAATTATGATATTTTTTAAAACTATTTATTAGAAATTTTAAATATAAGAATTTTTGTTTATCCTTTATATAAAATATTTGATCATATTTAAAAAAAATATAAGATTTATTACTAATATATATGAATAAAAATTAATTGAATAAAATTATGTATATATTAATATAAAATATATATATTTATAAATGTATAAAAATGAAATATATATATATATATATATATATATATATATATATAATTATATTAATTACTAATTTTCTTATATCTATATTTTAAGTATTTAATTAATAATTATTAATTATCAAGTTTTAATATTTTTTATTTTTTTATTTACTAAAATAAATATTTAATAATAAAAGTATTTATTATTATTTTCTTAGATATTTATTATATATATTATTTAATTTTTTTTACATATAAAAATTAATTATTATAATTTTTATTTTATAAATATTTTTTTAAAAAAATAAAAAAATATTAAAATCCTATCATTACAAATAATTAAAATATTTTAAAAAACATACTATTTTAAAAATGTCAAAATAATTAATATTAGGTGATTTATAAATAAAATATAAATATTTTTCTTAAAAAACAAACATAATATAAATAGGTTGTGGTGCTACAAGTTTTATAACTGTATTATTATTAATAATATTATCATATTCTTCTTTATAAGTTGATGAATATGGATTAGACTATAGTTCAATTTCAAAGCATGTATAAATAAAAATAACCAAAAAACAATATAAAAATTGCTAATAATAAATAATATAAAAATTAGGTAGATGCTTAAGCATATGATTCAGGTGTCCATTTCTTAGGACTAGGCCATAGATTTATAAGATTTCCTAAAACGGTAAAAAGTATAGAATTTAGTCTAGAATAAGGAGCAAATACAAGAGATTTAGAAAGTCGTACATTAGATGGTCTTTAAGTAATTCTAGAAATATCTTTTTAATACAAGTAAATATAAATAAAATATAATAAAAATAATAATTATAAAATAAAAAAGATTAATATATAAAGAATTACATAATCTTTTTAATAAATTCGGATCTGATTACGAGAAAGTATTTATTTCAATGTCAACGGATATATTGACAAATTTAGTTAAAAAAATAAAAAAATAATAGAAAATAATTCATATAATAATTTAAAGGCAACTAAATATACAGCAAATAACTTCTTTGTTGATAGATTTAAAATCGGTACTACAATGTAAGATGAACTAAATAAATATTTCCAAAAGGAATTTTCAGCTACAATTGAATTCTTTTAATTGAGAAAAGTTGATTTACCAGATTTATTCGAAAATTCTATCTAAGAAACAGAAGTTAAAAAATAAGCTATTTAAAAGGCTTAAGCTTAAAAATAAAAAACTTAAGTCGAATTAGAAACTAAATTAATGTAATCTAAATATTAGGCTTAAGTCGTTAAAGTATTTCTTTTTTTCTTTTTTCTTTTTTTCTTTTTTTTTTTCTTTTTTTAATTTAAGAATTTAGCTCAAGGTGATGCCTAGTCTATTGTTTATAAAGGATAAGCCTAAGCTTAAGCTTATTTATAAAAATAATAATCTTATTCAACTCAGTATAGCATCATAAAACAAAATCTATAATTAGATAATGCTGGTTTAATCTAATTTATGAAAGTATTTTTATATATATTTATTTTTTTGTTTTTTATTTTAAAAAAAAAAAAAAAGAACAAAATCATTAAGGAATATGATGGATAGTAATTAGTTATAAATTTAGATAATTCATAATCTAATTAAAAATGAAATAATATTTTTTGTTTACTTATATATATTTATGTAAAATAAAAAGTTTTACAAAATAATATTTTTTTTAATATAAAACTGTATTTTTTTTTATAAAAAAAAAAATATAAAATATCCTTTTTTTTGTTTTGTTTTTTGCTAATTATAAAACACTTAAAAATAATTTATTTATTTTTAATTTTCATATTAAATAAATATGACAAATAAAAAAATGTTTAAATATTTAACATTTTTTCTCATTAATTTTCTAATTCATCTAACATTAAAAATATATTTTATTTATATTCTTTAAATCCATTAATTAAATAAGTCATTTAAATTTACTTATCACTCATAAATTCGTGATGATTTCTTAATTCTTCGTTTAACTAAATTTATATAAATAAATATGTAAAAATATATAATATATATTATAGATATTTATATATATATATATTAATTGTTTAAATTAAATATACTGTATATTCTAAATTATTTCTCATAATTTATATTTCCTATTAAGATTAAGTTAGGTAATTTTTTTCTTATTCTAGTTTGTTTTATTCTTAGACTAATATTTTTAATTCTTCTTCATAATATTTTGTTTTTTCTTTATTATTTTTTTATTTCTTTTCTAATTATTAAATAATTTCCCCTTCTTTTTAATTTAAAATCTATAAAAAATAAAAAAAATATTTTTATACTTTTTTTTTTTTTTTTTTTTTTTTTTAAAAAAAAAATACTTAAAATTCATCATTTTTTCTTAATAAATCGCTTTATAATTCTTTATGTTCATTTTTCAATTATTTACATATTTTTTTTGTTTCAATATCTTTTTTTGCAGTTTCATTTATTTTTTAAGCAGGTAAGAAGCACGATTTTTTAAATTTACTTATTATATTTTAGTAAATATCAATTTTAAATTATAACATTTATATTACTTAATTTAATTCTTTTAATGAATTTTATACATTTTCTAAATCCTTTTCTGTTTAATAATATTAATCCTTTATTTTTAAAGGAGATCTTACTATTTTATGCTTTTCTTTTTAGTTTTATTCTCCCATTTTTTTAATATCTTCTACTGCTTATAAAATAGCTTTTTCCATTTATTTTTGTTATTAAACTAATTCTTGTTTTTCTTTTATAGCCATTCCTTTATTTTTTAATAATTCATAATATTCTTAAATCATTTTTTCAAGATGTGCATTTTATTCATCAAAAAAAGGCTTTTCGACTTCTTTTTTTTCTTTTAAATTATCGCTAAAATATTTTAAATTTTCATAATCTTCAACGACCTATTTTAATTTATTTTCGTCTTATCTCTTTTTTGTTTTTTAAATGAAAGACAAAAAAATAATATTTTACATTTTTTTCTAAAACATCAAAAAATCCTAACATAATTTTTTCTTAATGGTTTAAATATAAACATATTTATTATAAAATTTTTTTAGTTCTTTTTCTTTCTGGTTTAAATAAATCAATTGAACTAAAATCATCTATTCCAACTAAATTAAGCATTTATGTAATAAACTTCATTTTTTAAAATTAATAATATGATTTTAATGTATTTTCTGATTCCTAATCTTAAAAATACTAATTATTATATTGATTAATTTCTTCGGAAGGTATTTTTAAAAGTAATGAAGAACACTTTTTATTTTTTATTGGATTATATTATATATTTTTCTTTAAATATTTTTTACAAACACTAAAATATTGTTCATAAATTCTGGATTCGGATCTGCTATTTATTTATCAGATTCAATATTAAATCCTCTTTGTTTTAAAATTTAAAATATTTCATAATTTGTAAGAATATTAATATTATCTTATTAATTCATTTTTTTTTTAAATTTATTTTATAAAATTAAATTTTAGCGCTTAAAATAAATTATATGATGATACCTTTAAAATAAATAAAGAAAATATTTATAGTTTATTTAAAATTTTTATTTTTTTGTTAATTTTTAATTTGTTTTTATTAAACTTTTTGATAAAATATATTATTTTTATTAATTTTTTATAATAAACTTATATAACAAATTAAGTTTATTATTTATTTAATAAATTTATAATTATAATTATGTTAAATATGCTTTCTTAAAATTTTAAAATTTAAACTATTTAATGTGTTTCTAATTTAATTAAAGAATTTTTTATAAATTATTAAATAAATATATATATATATATTTATATATATATATTTAAATAATAATAATTTTTATAAATTCAGTTAATTTTGTCAAAAAATAAATTAGATTTAATATATTTTTAATATAAATATATATATAATATCATGTTATTAGTATAAATATTTTTTAAAATTTATTATAATATATTTTTTTTTATTATTATATAAATATAAAAAACTAAAAAAATAGTAATTATAGATCAAATTAATCTAAAAATATGAAATAAAACAATTTTTACGAAAATTATAAATTAGATTTAGTTAATAATAATTTATTTTACAGTATAAACGAATTCGTGTTTATAAAAGATCCATTAAAAAATAAAATTCAATTAGGGATGGGTAGCTTTGGTGAAGTTAGACTAGCTCAAAATAAAAAAACCTAATAGAAATATGCAATAAAAATAAGTATTAATTTAATAAATATTCACGTATATACAAGAAAAAAATAAATAAATAATAACAATATATATATATATATATATATATAGTAATATCTTATAATAAAAATAAAATAAAAAATAGATGAATCTAAAAAATGCCCGATCATTTTAAGAAATATAAGGAATATAAAGAGAAGTTAGAGTACACAGTTAATTAAATCATCCAAATATAATAAAATTTTATGACAGTTTTTAAGAAAATGAATTAGTTTTTATAGTTTTAGAATATGCAATTAATGGGAATCTTTATTCATATTTAAAAAAAAAAAACATTTAACAGAAAAAGAATCATTTAAATATTTTGATTAGACATGTTAAGCAATTTAATATTTACATTCAATGAATATTGTACATAGAGATATTAAAGTATATTTTTTTATTTAAAATCATTTAATAAAATTATATAGCCTGAAAATATAATACTTGATTTTAATTTGTCTGTTAAATTATGTGATTTTGGATGGTGTACTGAAGATATAGAAAATCCCAGAAATTCATTTTGTGGTACATATGAGGTAAAAATTTTTTTTTTTAATTTTTTTTTTTTTGAATTTTTTGTTTTTTTTTTTTTTTTTTTTTAAAAAAAAAAAAGCATAAAATTATTTTATTTTATTCTTTCTTAAAAAATAAATAAAAATAAAATAGTATATGGCACCAGAAATCGTATTTAGATAATAATATGATTATAGAATTGATATTTGGGCTTTAGGAATACTACTTTATGAACTTTTACATGGTTCTGCCCCTTTTAAGGGAAAAAGTTTAAATGAAATTTAATAATAAATACAGAAAGGAGACGTTATTTTTTCTAGATCAATAAGTGTATTATCTAGAAGTATTATTTGTAAATTATTATAGGCAAATCCTTAAAAAAGAATTTCGATTTCAGATATTTAATAGCATCCTTGGATGATTAAAATGAGAGAAGAAAATAAAAATGTTAGATTAGATAGTTATTTATATTCAAAAAATTTAAGGGCTACATGTACTAAAAAAACTAGTTTTTTAGAATATAAATAGAGTATCACAGCAATTAATGATGAAAATAATAATAAAGAAATAAAATTTTAAACATTTTATGAAAGAAATATTTATAAAAATATCCAAAATACATAAAATAATAGTCTATAAAATAAAACGGACAAAAATATTCAGATTTAAAGCAAAAATAATTTATATTAAACTTTCGAAAAATAATAAGTTTCTAAAAAATATTTAAATTTAATTACTGCCTGTTGTACAAATAATAATAATATACCATAAATAATATAAGCAGAAAGTAAATATATAAATAAATATTTATATTTATATATTTTATATTTATATATTTATATATTTTTATTTATTTAAATACATATACTATATATTTTTATATATATTTATCTTTTACTAAATTATATTTATCTTAAAGATGATACGACAGTTCATTTTAATGATTATATGAATGATAATTTAAATATATAAAAAAAAATTGTTTTAAAATATAAAAATAGTTATATTAATACTACTTAATGTTCTTTAAATTAATCAAATAATGCTAAAATTGAAAATAATTAAAATTATATTAATAATAATATATATTTTTTAAGAAATTTAAATTAATCAAAAGAAAAAACTTATACATCATATCTTAAACAATTTAAATAAGAAGAATATAATATTAATAAATAAAATAATTTATAAGAAAATTAAAAATTTGTTACTTTATTTAATTTATCATAAGATTGTTCATAAAAAATATAAAAAGCATAAACTTATAAAGAACATAGTAATAATTAATAAAGTAAGAGTTTAATATCGAGAATCCAATAAATGATTTAGATTGTTTAAAATAATTCTAAAAATATAGAAAAAGGAAATAATAGTAGAAAAATTATTAACTTAAACAAAAAGTAATAAATCTATAGTATTTTATAGAAAAATCTTCTTAAAATTTAAAAATAAAAAATATTGGATTAAAAATCAATTACTTCAAGTTTTTATTTGAATAAATATGATGTTTCAACTTAAAATAATTAAATTTAAAATAAATAAAATTTAGATAATGAATTATCTAAAGAAAAAAAAATTAATTGTAATTTACAGAAAGTTAAATTTAAGATTTTTAAAAAAGTTTTTAAAAATGATTGTATTTGCAATTATTTATTTTTATTTGAAAATTAATAAAAACAGTTTTTAACAAAAATATATAATATATATGAATTAATATATATTTAAAAAGTAATTTAATTATTAGATATTTTATGTTTTTTTTTTTTTTTTGGATAGATTGTTTAATAAATATAAAATATAAATATCAAATTTATTTTTCAAATTAATTTGTTTTCTGTGAATTATATACTAAAATTTAAATATTTTTTTATTTTTTTTAAATATATATATAAAAAATTTAAAAACTTAGTATTTTATATAATATTATAATATAAAAATAGATTTATACTAATATTTTATTAAATAATAAAATAAAAATATAATATAAATTAAATTTTATATAAAGTATTAGTATTTATTATATTAAATAAAAAAATAAATCTTTTTTAAATTAAAAAATAAAAATTATTATAATTTAATAAAATACAAAAAACGATGTTCAATATATTAAAAAAAAATACAAAACAAGCGATTCAATCAACATACATAATAGCAGCAAAAAGAACACCAATAGGAGGATATATGGGTGAATTATCAAAATTTAGAGCTTCAGATTTATTAGGATTTGTATTAAAAAATACATTATATCAATCAAAATTAGACTAATCTATTATAGATGAAGTTATATTAGGAACTTCATTATAAGCATCTTAAGGTTAAAATCCAGCAAAATAAGGATGCTTAATTGGAGGTAACAAAAATCAAAATCAAAATCAAAAAAAAATATAAAAAAAGGTTTAGACGTTTCTATTCCATGTACAACAATAAGTAAAGGATGTGCATCAGGAATTAAATCTATTTTATTAGGAAACGTAAGTATTTTAACAGGATAAAATAATTGTGTATTAGTTGGAGGATTTGAAAGTATGTCTAATGCTCCATTTTATATGCATAATGTAAAATTTTAAAAAAATATTTAAATAAATAATAAAAAAAATTTATATAAATTTAAATGTAAAAGTAAATATATTAAATATATTTATATATATATATATATATTATATATATATATATATTATAATTAAACACAATAATATAATAAAAATGTAAATTTTAATTAATATATAAGTTTATTAATTATTTTATAAATATATATTAAAAAAAAAAAAAAAAATATAAAAAAAATAAAATAAAATAAATTAAATAAATATAAATATAATTTACAAAAAAAAAAAAAAATTTTATAAAAATTGAATATTTAAAATAAAAAAAATATATTAATATAATATATGATTATTTTTAATAAAATTATAAGGTAAGAAAAGGCAAATTTTTTGGCGATTCATTACTTTAGGATTCTATTTTAATTGATGGAATACTTGATGCATATTTAGATTAGCCTTTAGGATATATAGCAGAAATGTAAGCATTAAAACTAAAAATAAATAAGAATATTTGTGATTAAGTTATTATAGAATCTTTTAAAAGAGCTATTAAATCTTAAAAATAAGAATTATTCAAATAATAAATTAGTCCTATTTAATATTTAAATTTAAACGTAATGTATTTAACGTATAAAATAAAAAAATAAAAATAATATAAGGGTGATGTTTTTAATTTGGATAAAGATTCTATTTTAGATTAATTTAATGAATAAGAAATATTAAATGACTGTAAAACTTATGCAAAAGAAGGTGTTATTACATAAAGTAATTCTAATAAATATGCAGATGGAGCATGTGTTTTATGTAAAAAAAAAAAAATATTATTATATATATAAATATATTGATAAATATGTATATATATATATATAATAGTTATATATATATATATATATATTTACATTTATATATATTAACTTATATTATTATGTAAAATTATTTTTAAATGTAAAAATATAGTATTAATGAATGAATAGAAAATTAAAGAATTAAATATATAACCTTTAGCAAAAATAATCTCGTTTGCAGAGACTGAATAAACCCCAGAAGACTACATTTTAGCATCTTAGTAATCTTGCTAATTAGCTTTAAAAAAAGCTAATTTGTCGATAAATGATATTGATTTTTTTGAATTAAATGAAGATTATCCTTCTAATTTAATTAGTTATATTTATAATTTAAAATTAGATATAGACAAAGTAAACATATATGGAGGATCATTAAGTCTTGGAAATCCTATTGGGTATATATTTACTTTTTTTTTATTTTAATTTATTCTTAAGAATGACTGGTGCAAGATTAGTTACTAATTTAATCTATATTTTAAAATAAAATAAAGGTAAATATGGAATTGCAGCTTTAGGAAATGGTGGAGGCGGAGGTAATTGTATTATTTTATAAAACATATAATGATTTAAATATTTATAAAAATTATTGAAAATTGTATATATTTTTTCTTTGATATTTGTTTCAATATAATAAAAATTTTAGAAAAAATCATAAAAATAATTATTATTATATAATTTTATATAATAAATAAAAAAACATAATTTTATTTATATGTAAGTAAAAAAGACAAAATTATATATAATATATAAATATTAAAAAAATATATTTATATATATATATATATATTTATAATTATAATTATTATATTTATTTATTTATTTATATATTTATATATTAATATCTTTTTAATTTTTTATTATAATTATTTCTTTTTTTTATAATATCTATATTTAATTTAACTAATTTTTTTTTTAATAACAATTTTTTAAATTAATATTCTAGAAATTTTTTTTTTTTCTTTTGTTTAACAGTTTTTATTATTTTTTATATGTTTTTTAAATATCTTTTTAACTTTATATTAATTAAATATCTTTTTTTTTATTAAATAAGAAAATAATAATAAATAAAATATATCTTTATTATTATTTAATAGGCTCCGAAATTTTAAAATTTTCTATTATTTAAAATCTTCTTAAATTTATTAATTATTTTCATTGTAGTAAAATAAATAATTCATGATTATTCATTTTATTACAAATTACTAATATATTTATTCATATTCATAATAAAATAAGTAAAATATTTAATTTTATGATTATCTATAATTTTGCTTTCTTAAGTAATTCCTAACTGATAATTATCAATATAAATAACTTCTTATTTTTCATTTTTATATTCCTAAACTAAATTTTTACCAACACCTAAAGATCATTATTATATTATTTTTAGAATTTTAAATTTATATATTATTAAATTTCATAACTTGTTTCCCTTATTTTTTATCTATATTAGAAAATCATGAAAAGATTTCATCCGAATAATATATATAATACACTATCCAGTAATACAATAATTATTCAGTTCTCCATTAAAATAAATATTATTTTACTGAAAATAAAATTTAGTGAAATTTTTAAGACTATATTTATAAAATAAATCTTCATATTAAATTTACATTTAAGCATAAATATCCATTATATAACTGTATAATTATAAAAAATATATCTAATGATATTAAAAATAATTATTTCTAATATTATCTATATATAATCCAAGAATCGTCTTTTATTTATCATTTATGTTTTTTTTTTTTTTTAAAAAAAAAAAAATATTTAATATTAATTAGAATTAATTTTTCCATTTATATTTAGGATTAATTGAAATATATTTATTTTATTAATAAGAAGATTTAATATTTAATCAATATAATTTTAAAAAGGGAGTAATGGAAAATATATTAACCGATTTTTATAAAGATTTTTATCAATACATTAATAATAATTAATATTAAAGTATTTATAATTTATATAAGATAACAAAATTATATATTTAATTTATATAAAAATATTATAAATTATGATTTAAAATGTAATATTTTTGAAAACAAAAAAAAGTTATAATAAAAGTAAATGAAAATATAATATAAAAGTATATTTTTATTATATTTATTTATATAATCATTATTAAGAATTTTTGTTTATAATTTATATAAATTTATATATATTTTCATTACTATAATATATTTTTAATATTTATTACTAATTTTATTATAAATAAAATATTTTTTATTTTAATTAAAAATTATATATTAATTTTTTATTTTATTTTTTCAACTTATTATATATTTATCAATAATTCTTTTAAATGTTTTTCTTTAAGTAATAATAGAACAGATAATTATTTTATATTGGAAAAAGAAATTTCTTTTTCGTAAAAAAAATATTTTTATAGACCCTGATAATAAAAAAATTAGAATAAGTTAAATATCCAAATATTCTTTAATCAGTATAATTTCAATCAGTTTTATGATAATATTATCCTAATGGAAGGCCAGTAAATAATAAAAAATATTGAATTTATAAGATATTATTGATAATTAATAAATTAGTAATTAATAAAATAATAAAGATTAACAAAAATAAGCAATTTCGTAATGTAATATCTAAAAAAAAAGATATTAATTATGCCATAAATTTAATTTTTTTATTAAAGGAAGGAAAATACAACTAAATATATAAAATAAAAGAATATTAAATATTATTATTAAATTAGGCAATGAATTATATACTATAAGAAATTTATTTCTGTTAAAATATCTATATTTTTTTTATTTTTAAAAGTTTTATTATTTCCTTAATTTAATTAAATAAAATCATATAATACTTTGTTATTTTATATTTTTTATCTTCTTATATATTTTTATTATATAACATGATTGTAAAATAAATAACAAAATGGGATATGAATTAAAAATAATTAATTTAAATTAATTTATTTAAAACAGTAAATAATTTATATTTGAATTTTTTTTTTTTTTAAATAAAAATAAATTAATAAAAAATGGATTAAATAGGTTTTTATTAATTATAAGTAAATTTATTTAAACAAATTTTATTTTAGATAAGATATTAAACAAAATAAATGATTTATATTTAATATAAAGCAATATTGAAAACAAAAATAATTCAGAATTAAAAATAAAAATTCAAAATTATAATATTGATAAAGTTAATAATGAATGCAATATTAATATAAATAAAATAAATTATAAAAATATTAAATAAGACAAAGATTAATAATAAAATTATTAAAAATAAAAAGGAAAAATAGTTTATTTAGTGATTAAACTAAAAAAAGCTAAATGGCTATAAATTATTATAAAAAAATCATTTAATTTACAAATCAAAATGAAAATATATATTAATAAAAGAATGTTAGTAATAAAGTAACAATAAAAAAAATAGTAATATATAGAAGTAATAATAAAAATATTTTTAAATATAAAAAAATGAATATATTATTAATGTTAATTATAGATAAAATAATAAACAATTAAAAATAAAAAATAGTAATAATATATTTTTTATGGACAATATAAAAAAATATTAATAATAAATACATTTATATTTATAAAAAAAAAAAAAAAAAAACGTAAAAATAAGCATTTATTATATATATTTCTATAATAAATAATAATAATTTAAAATTAAATTTACTTCTTATTTTTTTTAAAAAAAA